AAGTCAGGCCGCCAGCAGAAAAATATTTTTGATGTCAACAACCCACGTCTGATGTATAAATCTCAGCAGTATAATGCAAGCAATTGTCATGCACTCAAATCAATCAAGGACCAGTTTCAACATAAAACTTTGTTTAGATAAAGACGGTAGTCATCGTCGGAGGATGACATAAGCTGAGTTTTAATTATAGGAACGTCGTTTAAACGTCAAACGGTCAATCCTCGCACACTGGTGGACGAAACTACTCGAGACTAGGAACTGGCTTCGAATGTGGCCCCATAGCCCCTGTCAATGAGTTCTTAAACAATACCGTATAGGATCGCCATGGCAAGTAACCAAGTAATAGATATATATTAAATTCGATAGTAGCAACCGCCTATAAGCTATACTTTCATCTCCATAGTAAGAAAGCATCTTTCTAAGTTCATGCTGCGTATTTATACATAGCCGCTATAGGCAACGTTAAAGATGAAACCCTGCTTTGCAGTGACGTCGCTTCCATAGCATCACGTCAACGAAAACACCCGGTCTGGTGGCAGATGTAGAAATCCATAGCAGCAGTTGCCATTGCTCTGCTGTTGCCATAGTAACGCGCCGCATCACCACATAAATCTTGCCACCTTTTAGTAGCTGACTAAGGATCCATTGACTGTGTTAGTAGGTGCCGCCATTGCTCTACTGTTGTTGCCATAGTAACGCGCCGCGTATAGCCACATAAATCTTGCCACACTGACAGTAGGCCGATAATTGTATCCACCGAGTGACGGCGTTAAGAACAGCCGCCATTGCTCTACGGTTGTTGCCATATAATAGTTGCGCGCCAAAAAACAACATAAACTTTAGAACCTCTGACAAGTAACTGGTCTAGATAACCATTGACTACGTAAACGGGATATACTATACAGTATTGGTGCTCCAATAGCCGCACTCTCACCCCGAGGCACAAATTTACTTTATTGCACCAAAGAAAGTTTAGAACTAAAATAAATCTTTCTATAATGAAGAGTGCCTCTAAAATATTGTTGAATTACTTCAATAGACTATTTTTCCATGTTTAAATAATTAAACAAATCAGCAAATATATCTAAAATTTACGCATAATAGAAGCCAGTATTCATGGCTGAATTGATCAAACAAATCACCCAACTGCAATCAAGTACGAAATCAGCATATTCCCCATATTTTCACATTCATTAAGAAGGAATGTTATTTTATATCAATTCGTTTCCGTTAATTTCATGACAGCGCTCAGAAGATGATAAATTAATATGAGCAGCACGCTATTGCCTCTAAGTACAGTACTGAAATTTATCTACCACAAGTTGCCCCATGTAAACATATCTCAACCGCCACAGCAGTTAAAGCACTCAACAGTGGCAACCCTATAACGAAAATGAGCAAATTTTAGCCAAGGCATTAATCGTCATGGTTGAATTAATCAATATTAATTCAACCATGTTAATCGCCATTGCTGCTCGCTCGTCTCCATGGTAACATCACCAGGAAGCCCAATAAATCTTAGCCGAGACGTCAACCACCATTGCTGCTCGCTCGTCTCCATGACAACAACACCAGACAGCCTAATAAATCTTAGCCGAGGCAGTAACCGCCATTGCTGCTCTCTCGTCTCCATGGCAACATCACCAGACAACCTAATAAATCTTAGCCGAGGCAGTAACCGCCATTGCTGCTCGCTCGTCTCCATGGCAACATCACCATACAGCCTAATAAATATTAGCCGAGACGTCAACCGCCATTGCTGCTCGCTCGTCTCCATGGCAACAACACCAGACAGGCTAATAAATCTTAGCCGAGACATCAACCGCCATTGCTGCTCTTTCGTCTCCATGGCAACATGACCGGACAGCCTAATAAATCTTAGCTGAGACATCAACCGCCATTGCTGCTCTCTCGTCTCCATGGCAACATGACCAGACAGCCTAATAATTCTTAGCCGAGACATGAACCGCCATTGCTGCTCGCTCGTCTTCATGGCAACATCACCAGACAGCCTAATAAATATTAGCCGAGACGTCAACCGCCATTGCTGCTCGCTCGTCTCCATGGCAACAATACCAGACAGGCTAATAAATCTTAGCCGAGACATCAACCGCCATTGCTGCTCTCTCGTCTCCATGACAACAACACCAGACAGCCTAATAAATCTTAGCCGAGGCAGTAACCGCCATTGATGCTCACTCGTCTCCATGGCAACATCACCAGACAGCCTAATAAATCTTAGCCCAGGCAGTAGCCGCCATTGCTGCTCGCTCGTCTCCATGGCAACATCACCAGACAGCCTAATAAATCTTAGCCCAGGCAGCAGCCGCCATTGCTGCTCGCTCGTCTCCATGGAAACAACACCAGACAGCCTAATAAATCTTAGCCTCGGCAGTAGCCGCCATTGCTGCTCCCTTCGTCTCCATGGCAACACCCTATGACTGACACATAAGTTCCAATTTTCACATTAGCCGCCATTGCTGTCAGCCTGTCGCCAAGACAACGCCGTAAGGCCGCCTATTTTTCCTGGCGAAGAGATGAGCACAACCGTTGCTGTAGGATTATTTTTGACAACACTCAATACGTACTAAATTCATTCTATGAATCGTACTTTGCTGTATATTGAATAATTACAAATAAAACTCATAGTGCTGGATTTGGAATATTACAGATTTTCGATACTCTTTCTGTGGTTTCTATAGACCAGCAAATCTATAATTTGCGCAATTTAAGGGAGGGACATGGTTTTGGAGAAATGACATTCCTTAAAAGAGTACGTATAAACTGTAAAACGTCATTTGGACAAAAAATGCACGAGAATATGGGAACTACCGTAGTTAAGACGGCAGCCGTGGAAAAGCAATTTAACTCTTAAGCCATAATGGAAGCCAACGCCCAGACTCGCAATGGAATAAAAATTTCCAGTCTGGCAGCTAGAATTATTGATCTGCTTTAACCTGTTCTACTTCACAAAAAAGCACATCGTGCACATTTTCTCGGAATATAAAGCCGTCATGCAGCACTTCACAAAATATCAAACGTTACCTCGTATCCCTACCTTCCTGCAGCCAATAGCACGCTCTACCTGCTGACTTGACCCCGCATCTTCATTTTCCCTCTTAGTGGCCGGCAAAGCCCTAACAATGAGCTGCGCACAGCGTCCTTGACCTAATAAGCATACCCAAATTGTGGCGCGAAATTTCACACAGACAGTGCAGCTCAACTCAAATGCCATTACAGTGAAAACAATGATCAACATATACAATCATGCGATTTCTTCAAGAATATCACCCCGGTGTATTCCAAGCCAGAACAAAGGACTGCAATTTGAAATCCCTTCAGCATTAAACCAAATTGAAAGGATCTCTATGCCAACAAAGATATGAACTGGATTCAAGATTTATATGCAATAATGGTGGAAAAACTGTACGCAACTAGAGGCATCATCAAACGCTTGACTCTGAACTAAAGTCGCAATGACTTTTTCCTTGAGCGTCCACAACGACTCAATGACGAAACAAGTGTAAATTAGTTAAAAGATTGAGTTTCCTTTCCGTGCGTAATTGACTTTAACGCACACGAAAACTATTGTCAGAGTGTCTTCTATCTTGTCACTGCTCGTACGCCGGTTAAAGAACTTCCTTCAAGGAAGATACGAACGTCCTTAGACAGTACGTTGGTGCAACCGATGACTGCCAGAGTCTAGAAACGATCCCGATGCTATCACCGAAAACCTGGTAAATCAGCGCCGATCGCAAAAGGGGTTAAATAATTGTGAATGGGTTTACATGAATCAATGATTCCGTAGAATTTGTAAAATTACTACATTATCTACCAAATAAATGAACAATGAATGAATCAAAAACAATATTTTGTCTGTATCGTGAATGACCACAATTGCCAATTTCTAGACGGCATAAAAAAAGTATTTTCAAAGACATTAACCAGACTGAATAGGTAGATTATCAATTAAAAATCAATTATCTTTTCCATCATATTTAACTTAGCATATGATAATGGGACTAACTAAAAGCATACATCAACAGCTAATAGTTTTATGCAAATTTGAGTTATAACTATTTAAATTTTTTGTTAAAAAGAATAGCGCCTTAGAGAAACCTAGAACGTCTGCCTTAATATAATCATTATTAGCTATCATTCATTTCATTATTGATCACAAAATTCAAGTTTCCCAGATGAGATTAATAAAAAAAGAATGTTAACCGCCCTTTCGTGCATTTAGACAGAGCAAAGTTTGTTCTAAAATAAGAATTCGTGTTACTGAAACCTTCACGCAAACTTTCATTGGACTCGAAAAACACCGACAAATGAGTTAGTTCTGATATTTTACCGGCATCTGAGACTTTGCTGAACAGACGAACGTCAAGATTGCGGCCGAAATTTCTGGTGAACGTACAGTCTTCGCGCTTCGTAGACATTAACTTTAAATTTGTTTAGATCACTAGTCTCAGGCCTAGCGGTAGAAACCCAACTATGACCTGCTGGTGACAGTGTGCTGAAAATAGAAATTAGCAAGAGTGATAATTTGATACAAGGGCTGTGACAAAAATTCAGAGCTGCTCAGGCTGGGCGGTGTAAGTTCTCTGCCTACCGGAAACCTTATAACATATTAAAAATAAGGGTAAATTTTTAGAACACCTTGAATGCCGTACGACAGAGAAAATAGGCAAACACAGGCTATGATAAACAAATACAATGAAAAGAACTGTAGCAGACATGTTATGGTGCAGGGAGCAAACGTGTTGAGAACAATGCTCCATCACTATAACATCTTCCTCCATCACTTGTAGTATGATGTGCATGTGTGTGGTGGCAGTAGTACTGCTAGTATTACTAGTATAACTGGTATTGCTAGTATTATAGTGTACGCACAGCTCACTGGCACTTGCTAACTAAGGATCTTGCAACATGTGTGATAAATAATTGCTCATAAGCAACGCGGAAAGATTGAAAACTTAGATGCTATCGCTAATTAACGCTAGGTTTTGCTATTTTAAACGTGTTGCTATTAAAGTACAGAAATAAAATTTACCTTTTATCCGTATGAACAAGAGTTTTAATGAACAACCAAGTGCAATAAAATACCATCGGTTGAAATTTTATCCAGATCAGTGTATTTTTACAAGGCTGTTGCCGGCGTTTGGCCGTGAAGTTCAAACATTCTGACAAGGTAGAAGGTTGCGGCGAACGTCCGGTGACACACAAAAGTAATCCATCAGGGTTTTTTTTTCCTCACACAACCCTTCCCCTGCTACGTGTGACACAGCAGGACATCACACGCACGCCGCCTGCAGTGACGTGATGAGCAGAGGCCGCGCGTGCAGAACCTGCGACGAAGCGTCGCTGATCTCCACCTCCACGTAGTCGCCGGGACAAGGAGAGCGACCTGCACACACAGGGACGATGAGGGGACAAGCTGGTGCGTCAGGGACGGTGAGGGGACAAGCTGCTGCGTCAGGGACGATGAGGGGACAAACTGGTGCGTCAGGAACGATGAGGGGACAAACTGGTGCGTCAGGGACGATGAGGGGACAAGCTGGTGCGTCAGGGACGATGAGGGGACAAGCTGGTGCGTCAGGGACGATGAGGGGACAAGCTGGTGCGTCAGTGACGATGAGGGGACAAGCTGGTGCGTCAGGGACGATGAGGGGACAAGCTGGTACGTCAAGGACGATGAGGACGGGGACAGAGTGAGAAAATAATGTCAGGGAAGAGTGAAGTATAGTAAAGTTTAGTTAATTTTAAATTAAATACTACACCATCTGCAACATATATTTGATCCAAGAACACTACAACGCGCAATAAAGAATCAGAATGGAGATTTTTAAGTGGCAAAGCCTCAACATAGAACGTTAAGACTAATGATGGTAGTTAAATTCATCTCAAGAAGTACGTTAATAATCAGTGCTGCAATACATTGGTCCCTGATGATAATAGACAAACCCGGATATATTAAGACTTTGAATTTATTAAAATTTAGACACACTAAAATACTAGACAACTAGACATACTACTAGTTCTAGTACGCCTACATGTTAATAGACAACCCCGAATATATAAACGTTGGATCTATAAAAATCTAGATATACTAAAATTTTATTATGTCTTAACGAATTGAATAACATTGTAGACACAGTTTAAACATTAGTACAGAGCCACGTCACACATTCAAGAATGATAGGTTAGTTAGTATACTTATTGGAGGTCTTACTTGGTGAGTCGCTCTGAAGGGCGTCTGGCACCGGCACGTCTGGAAATATCACCTGAAAAATGTGAGCTTGTTAACTTTATCTCGCTTAATAAAGATTCTGTCTTCGTCGCATAATATCTACAAGCATTACAAGTGAGATAGCCCGTTGAAAATGGATTTTTCGCATTAAAATGTCAAAATGATTAATACCGGGCGTTTCAAAGTACTTAAAATTTCACATTAGGTGAATTTTTAAGAATATATATTAGACGAATTTCTTACAACCTTCGTATCAATAATCTTTATATTACAAAAACAAATAATGAAAAACCAATTTGCCAGCCACATAAACTAACCTTTGTGTTGCTGTCGTTCCTGCCGGCCAGATGGAGCTTGGACCGCTTGCTGCAGCCCTCCACCAGCACCAGCTGCCGCTGCCCCACCTGTATAAGAACAACAATTACTTTGTGCACTTGATTGCTGAGAAAATCTTTGAAACATTAGTGAATATTCTCGTATATAGTATGCATGTGCTCTTAATGCCAAACGTATTAATCTCTGTAGATGTCACTTGAAGTAAGATACATACGGTACAGCTAGAAATAGGAGTGAAGTTAGGTATGCAACGTCATCACAATTCACAGGAAGGCAGGTCTGTCACATTCATCACACGGAACAAACATTGCGCCGTCGAAGCTATGATAAAAGGCGGCCAACACTCGCTCATCGTTGCGGTGGTAACTAGGCAGGCCTGTCGCATTAGAACTGGGTAGTAAATTAGTTAATTTAATTATATAGAAAATATATACAGAAACTTGTCAACAAAAATTCTTTTTATATATAGCCGTGCATTGAAAATTATAGGAGAAATGCCAACACTATATTGATCGCAATTTAACCAAAAATTCCCATGCAGATTAAAGGTACCTAGTCCACAGAAAAAAGCTCAAATTCAATGTCATCAAGACCTTAAGATTCCCCCAGGTAACATACCCAGAGTGTTTAGGGACACACACCCAAGGCCATGCTGAAAGCACCACCTTTTGACGGCGACTATGCGCCGTCCACTAGCGACACCGAGACTTTAACTGAACTTCCCGGGGCTCGAACCCACGCCTAGCTCCTCCATCTCGGTGCCGCTCTACCGTCGTCACTGCGCATACAGCGGCCCTATAACCACTGCGCTATACAGTGACGCACATCATCCATAAATCCGTCATCATAAACATCCATAAATTTAAGCATTCTACAATAAAGATCCCTACCAGTAACTCTCGAATTAATCGTGAATCAATTATTCTAAGGCAGCTAGTAGGGCATACATTTCAAATTAATTATATGAGGCAATTTGGCATATATTTCAAATTTTTAGTGGAGGAAAGTAATAACATTTGAAGATAATTATAGAAAACATTTACAAAAATGTATATATATATATTATATATTTTCATTATATTTATATATTATGTATATATTTTTGATAAAAAAAAGAATGGTAGAACATTTTTTCAAAATAACCAGTGCATAGAGAAATTGTGACAGATGGCTTATACTTGAGCAAGGACGTACACAGACATTAGAACATAAACATTGTTGAAATTAGCGATGTAACTGAAATAGAGGTACTTTAAACTATTATCTGAACTTTGCTTATAGATAGGATATTTTTTACTCAAACTAAACTCACTGATGAGTTTCAACTGATTCATCGATGAGTGTCAGTTCTCATTAGGTTCCTTCGGAGATTAAATTTGCTGTATATTATCCTTTAAGGAAGACTTGTTACACTTGTATAATATGATAACCTACTATTGGCAATTTGTGACACTGATTGCCTTTGCCATTGGCAAAGGCAATCAGTGTCACTAAGTCAACCAACGACACCTGTCAAAAGTTCCACGCCGCTCAGACATGACGCTGTAATAGATTTAAAATGCGGCCAATTGCTCGCTTAGCGTTGCCCAGGGAACAGCTCGCGCTTTTCACATTCATCACGCGGAACAAACATGGCGCCGTAGCTGCTATATAACGCGGCCATTGCTCGTTCAGCGTTGCCAAGGCAACACTCCGCGCCTGTCACATTCATCACGTCGCCCAGGCATGGCGCTGTCGCGGCCATTGTACGTAAAGCGTTGCCGTGGCAACGTCTTGCGTCGGTCACATTCATCACATCGCGGCCATTGCTCGCTCGACAGTGCCGTGGCCATTGCTCGCTCGACATTGCCGCGGCCATCGCTCGTTCAACGTTGCCGTGGCAACAACCCGCGCCTGTCACATACATCACTTCGCCCAGGCATGGCGCTGTCACGGCCATTGCTAGCTCAGCGTTGCCAAGGCAACACCCCGCGCCTGTCACCTTCATCACACGGAACAAACATGGCGCCGTAGCGGCTATATAACGCGGCCATTGCTCGCTCAGCGTTGCCATCGGATCCCTTGTGAATCAAGTCACGAAAAGTTCAAGAATCGGCAACAGGCCATGGGCCTATTTCTTCAGCGCCGACACTTCTATTCTATTCTATTCTAACACCCGCGCCTGTACCATTCATCACGTCGCCAATGCAGGCATGGCGCTGTCAGGACTATAAATGTCAGCCATAGCTCCTCCAGCGTTTTATGGAAGCAAAAACACACGCGCATCAATGTTCTCAATCATGAATAACTGATTGGCATTTCAGCGGGACTAAGGTAGATATGCAGCAGACGCAATTTCGTTCCAACTTATGTCCACTATAAAGCATCAATGTGGCTAACAGTTAAATTTTCCTCAACATTGACAGGCGACCATGGCAGCTACTAAACAATCTACGCAGATCACATTGCTCCACATCCATCACTCATTGCTTGAGGTTTCCGCCGGAATCATTTCAGTTTCACAAAGTAGTCATGAGAACAAACATTCCATGAATCACTTCCGTATGCAGGAGAATAGGTTTTTTAATTATTACTGTTTCTGGGTTTTTTTAACAACTGAATAGGCAAGCTACCTACTCGTCTAACACCACGATCTCTAGACGTTTATTTTACAACCATTACTTACCACATGTTTCCTTAACGGCTGATCATGCCTCTTAGATTCATCATCCAACGATCGTTACCAATGCGTCCATTTCACCAACAATACCACAGTTGTAATGAAAGCAGATTAGACTTGACAATAAATAAATATAATGTTCTAGCTGTACTTACTACCTCTACAACTCTAACAAAATATATATGCGTACATGTCCGACTGTGCCTCGGGGAGCATATAATTAAACCGTTCGCTCTTTATATCCGCCTTGGCACAGGGTATGAAGGGCAGCTTGCAAGCTGGGTATGACTAGCTCGGCTGACTCTTGTCACATTCTCAATCGACTATAATGTCAGAAAGGAGATTCTGACAAGAACCTTTCTTCAATCATGGCGGCCAACCATGCAGACCCGGAATAACTTAGTGCCGAGTGTAGCGACTATTCGGCCGAAGCATGGGCGGCCTCCGAAATTGGTAAAGGAAATGCTTCTGCCTGATGCCGTGATAGTAAGTAGATAAAAACATGGTGTCATAACTATCCAGACCTTTGTTTGCCAGATACCTATATATCACGATCCAAGCCACTTTGATCAGTATTTAAACAATATAAAAATATAATTCAGTACTCACTGCAGTGAGTGACAGAGAGCGCATTTTCTTGTCGACGAAAATGTGGTCACGGACGGACGGACGGACGGACGAACGGACAGACAGACAGACAGACGGACAGACAGACAGACAGACAGACAGACAGACAGACAGACAGACAGACGGACAGACAGACGGACGGACGGACATGAGGAGCACAATAGCGCATTTTTTCCATAAGTGAGAAAATGCGCTAAAAAGGCAATTTCTTCACATAACTAAATAAACATCAAGACAATGTGACCAGATAAAATGCATGCACGCTGTGCTCTGTGTAATTTTTTCATTTGCATTATTGAATATGCAACAAAATAATATCTTTAAAAGCCAGATATAGTCAAGAAATTTGACTGCTGTCAGCAGTACTACAAGTTAAGACTTAAATTTTATAACAGTTATATAGAAAAGCGATCACAACAAGGGACCTGTTTTTGGTTCCATTGAAGCGCGTGTCGTCTGAAGGCGTCAGTAAGCCTAGCCATTCTCATCGCCTTCTCCTCAGAAGGAACGTCGTCTTTCAGGTCGCGGTGTGCTGGAGTCTTTTCACGTAAACTGAAGGCAGAATGACGCTTTTGAACACTCAGGAACAATTAAGAGATCAATTATAATTATTATTACTTCAAATGCACCACACCACATGCACGTGATCGCTACTACTGGTACTAATTAAGTTCACTTAAGTGACTAACGTTGAGAGAACAAATAGATAACGATACCATGACAACGCAATGCATTAACTAAAAGACTAGCAATAACTCAAGCTCTAAAGGCAAATGGATAATGCACAATTGTTGGTAAATTAGGTTACATATCAATTGCTTTTCTTTTGAAGACTTACAGACCTATTACAAAGAAATCTAAACATTAGAACAATTTTATAGAGAGACTCAGGTCTAACCTGTAAGGAAAGACATAGCAGAAATGATATTTTACAGCCTCCATTAAGGATAGGGTTTCCTGGAACTCTTCTTCGGTTTCAGAGCAGAATCCAGCAATGAAGTCAGATGATAAAGCTACATTTGGGATCACACTCCTGATGTGCTGAACCTGTTGGAATCAATTTTAAATGGTCAAAACAAAAAAAATTATGAATATATTTGCTCTATAACCTACATAATAGTTCATTTCATTTATTATCTACCTACATCGGTCTTGAGCAGGTACGTATATACTTCAAAACAAACAAGTTGCCATTAATCTGGTAAAATTTTGTTGAAAAAGTGGTTTATAGCTGAAACTAGCTCTTCACTAGCTGAAACATGGGCACCCACTTCACAACTTGAAACTGCTATGATACTGGCAGCAATACAATCAAAATAAAAATCCTAATCACATTATGATTTTTGGGGCGGTCACTGTAGTTTTTAAAAACTAACCTAGACATGAGCATTTTAGTGTTTTTTATTAGTACCTTGCAACTCATAGATCATATCTACTCACCAACTCCAGATAAGCTTCTCTTGTGTAGCCTCTTCTCATTATTTCCAAGATTCGGGAGCTGCCAGCCTGAGCTGGTAAATGCAGCTGGCTGCAAATATTTTTTCTGTCTCGTATGAGTTCCAAGACTTTGTCAGGAAAATCCTTAGGATGGGGTGATGTGAACCTGATTCTAATGTTTGGATCAATTTTTGAGACTTCATCTAAGAGTGATGAAAATCTCAATCCACCCTTTTTTGGTTTATAAATTGTTTTAAATCCTTTGGATATTGCTGCTGAAGCTTGTTCTTGTGAAGAAAGATTGATTCCAGCATGCGTCGTCTGGCTCATATCACAGTAACTGTTGACATTCTGACCAAGCAATGTAATCTCTTTCACTCCCTGATCTGAGAGAGCCCTCACTTCATTCATTATTGATTCTATTGGTCGAGATCTTTCTCTGCCTCTAGTGAAAGGCACAATACAATAGGAACACATATTGTCACAACCACGCATGATAGAAACAAATGCTGAGATTTTGTTTTGGGCAAGACTCACAGGCATAATGTCAGCATAAGTTTCTTCCTGTGACAAAAGCACATTGACAGTTCTCTCACCACTCTGAGTTAAGGCAAGTAACCGAGGCAAGTCTCTATAACTGTCAGGTCCCATCACAAGATCAATTTCTTTGTCTTGATCAAGGATATCCTTCTTGAGCCTTTCTGCCATGCATCCTAAAATACCAATTTTAACAGGAATTGGATTGAGGCTCTTAGCACGCCTCTTTTTCAGCAGCTGATAATTTCTTAATTTATTCCATATCTTCTGTTCTGCTCCAGCACGAATAGCACATGTCATAACAAGAATGACATCAGCTTCATCAAGGATTTCAGTTTTCTCATAACCAACTGATTTCAACACTGACCATGTAACTTCAACATCACTAACATTCATCTGGCAGCCATGAACTTGGAAACACACTTTCCTTCCATGGCCTGAAATATCTTCAATATGAACATAAGGGTGTGATATCTTCTCAAGCAAATGCTTTGATGGTTGATAGTTTTGAGGAGCATTGTTCAGAAAATGTTCGAATCCTGGACCTTGAGGCAAACTTTTTGTGGTGGAACTTGAAGATGTTGATTGATGAACAATGCCTACCTTTTTATCATCATTCAAAAAATGAGAAATAGATATTCCATTCATTTTTATAAGAGTGGGAACAAATTTTAGGGCAATGGATTTGCGATGACAGCAATAAAATAAATTGGCACGTTGCATCATCATAGCAGCAGCAGAAGAAGGGCTACCAATTAAATGCTCAAGCTTTATATTCTTCCAGCTACGCTAGAGTTCAATGTTTGATTGGTGTTTGGCATTAGTTTTCTCTGTAACAAATAAAAAAAAGTTCATCAACTAATATCACAAACTTATTTAGTAACTGGCATTAAATCTACAGTCAATTTTGAAAAGGTCAACCAATTGAAACCAAAAACTTTTAATTTCTTAAGGCATTTATCCACTCAGACATATATATGATGATACCTGGCATTAGATGCTGTAATTTTAGGGGTTCAAAATTGCTCATTCAAAGGCTACAAAAGCAAAACCATCCACATGCTAGTGTGGATGAAACTCTGGACACGGACATCTATTTAGATACCATTAGTGTGGAACTGAGGATAATGGTGTGATGCATAAGAGAACAAGTTATAAGTGAATTGCATTGATTTGGAGTTTTAGAAGATGCTACTATCATGAATGACAATTATTGACACAGAGGAAAAGAAGTGTTTGATGAGTAGGGTGGATATGAAAGAGGAAAGGCAATGCAATAGTATTAGCTTCACTAAACAACTACATACATATCTATATATGTACATGTACTACCATATATTCCTAATCAAGAGGACAGATTGCTAATATCCTTTCAAGCAGGATTAGAATTTTCATACTTCTAAAGGGGCAAATATTCAATACATTTGGAGTTTCTCACCCCTAATTGTATACACCAGTTATTAATTAGATAACAAGTACTTGCTCAAACATATATTTGAACAGAAAATTCTTAATATTTAAGTAGATTGACAACAAATCCTCAATACTGGTAATGCTAATGAAATTTTGGACCTGAAACCCTGTTCTCTGTCACATATATAATTGCCAAACTGCATAGCTCAGGGTGCAGAAAAGTGGGTGAGTATCTGAAAATGTTTGGCGATGCATCATTGACCAAATTTATGCCTTCAGAAGATCTTGCCAACACATTCAGATGGATATTGTTGCATGTTAGATATTTGCAAATCTTTGGCAGTGCTAACTGCCGAACAGGAGGTATACCAGTGGCTGCATCTTTTTAGTGCATTTTCTCATTTATGGAAAAATGCACTATTGTGCTCACCGTGTCTGTCCGTCCGTCTGTCTGTCTGTCTGTCCATCCATGACTTCACGTTTTTGTCAATGAGAAAATGCGCGCTCTGTCACTCACTGCAGTGAGTACTGAGTTATATTTTTTAAAGTTTCTGGTTTCCTGTTCATTGCATGAGGCTGCAAAGCACAATCCACAATTTGGTAATTTTGGTTGCAATGCAATTGCCCAGCACCAAGTGGAGTGTAAAAGATACACTCTTCAAAGTTGGTTTTGCAAGAATTTAGGTGAAAATTATGTTTGCAATGCATCTTGAAGACTCCTGGCAATGCATCTTGAAGACTGCTGGCAACATGACAATGCATCTTGGGCTGTTGGTGACATTTATGGTCTACAAATGCAAAAATTGGTGACACATTTACCAAATTTGGCACTCTGGTACATAGCAGGCATAAAATATATCTACATTACAAGCCCCAACTAGCCCTTTGAGGCACCTCCCCTGCTATTTTTGGAAGGGCAAGGCTCCTGTTAGGTGAATAATACATTTCCCATCTAATCTTTAAAATAAGTGCCCATTGCCATTGGGCCAAGAGATTCCAAAAGTATTGAAAATACCGGTATTTCACTTTGAGACTGTGATATTTCTGTGATAAGTAGGAAAATTCTAATCCTGTTGTGTACTGTCAAACGAGGTAATAAGGGACAGGCAGGGTAAATCGGGACAGTCTTTCCACCTTTCATAGAAAAGGTGTAGCAGTAAGCAGCTAAACTTATCAGAATATTGCAAAACTAAAAATATTGGCATAAAGTTCAACATTTTTACCATCTGAAGCATATGATAATGCAAGTTAAGAAATCATACATTTACTACCTCTAAAAAATCCATAAAAAAGTGTCAAAATTTAGATTTCACTCCTAATACTGTGAACAATGTGGGAAAGTAAACTATGTTAGCTCTGAGTTACAATTACACGCATTGGTACCTGTAAACCAGTGGTTCCCAAAGTGGGCAATATCACCCCCCTGGGGGCAGTGGAAAGATTTGTGGGGGCCTCTGGAAAGATCTGTGTTTAACCATTCTCATTCATAATTTCAAAATTGCAGCATACCGTCAACCGGAGCTACTCGGGACGGTTTTGAGAGTTTTTTGTTAATAACTTCTTACCATGAAACATCTCATAAACAAGTTTAGGCTCATTTTATAGCTCTTTGCGAGGGCTATCGAATAGCATCTTCAAAAAAATTCCATATGCTATTTGTAAGGTACCAGAAGCAAAAAAAAGAGTGTCCCGAGTAGCCCCGTCGAACGGGGCTACTCAGGACACTTGGAATAAAACATCATTTTAAAATATTTGAAGCATGCAGAGTGTACTCATCCATTACTAACAGTACTCTGAAGTCCTCCTCTTTCATTGTAGATGATGTAGAGGTAGAATAAATGACATTTTCTGTGATTTTTACTCATTTTCCCTTTATTGATATGATATTACCACTGTCTCTTATACACATCTAGATGTGTATAAGAGACAGNCCTGTCGCATACATCACTTCGCCCAGGCATGGCGCTGTCACGGCCATTGCTAGCTCAGCGTTGCCTAGGCAACAACCTGCGCCTGTCGCATACATCACTTCGCCCAGGCATGGCGCTGTCACGGCCATTGCTAGCTCAGCGTTGCCTAGGCAACAACCTGCGCCTGTCGCATACATCACTTCGCCCAGGCATGGCGCTGTCACGGCCATTGCTAGCCCAGCGTTGCCTAGACAACAACCTGCGCCTGTCGCATACATCACTTCGCCAGGGCATGGCGCTGTCACGGCCATTGCTAGCCCAGCGTTGCCGTGGCAACAACCCGCGCCTGTCACATATATCACATTGCCCAGGCATGGCGCTGTCACGGCCATTGCTAGCTCAGCGTTGCCTAGGCAACACGCGCCTGTCACATACATCACATCGCCATTGCAGGCATGGCCCTGTCAGGACTATACAAGTCAGCCATAGCAGCTTCTGTGTTATATGGGAGCAAAAACACATGCGCATCAGAGTTCTCAATTATGAATAGCTGTCTTTCAATCATGAATAGCTGAATAATCTTTCAGTTCTCAATCTAAACAAAGCAATTATAACGAAATTAAATGTCAATTACAACTGAATATTTCTTCCTCTCTATTAAAAAATAAGAAACTGTAGCCTTGTCCCTGAACATCAACAAAGGCCTTCATTTTTTATTTCAAATTTCATTTCGCAATTTATATCAATGCATCTTCTTGCGCTTAAAATTATTTCATACGCAAAGACTCACAATTACGCAAAAGCTTGTTATAAAAATCCCACTTGCGCAAAGTACTACTATACTATACGCAAAGGCTGATAGACACAGACTTATCAAAATGGCATCAAGAGTAGGGAATGGTGCGAAGGCTGCCTTCTGATTGTAGCGGATTTCACCTAAATTCCAAAAACGCATGGTTTTCATGTTAACATACGAGTAGTACAACTAGCGCTCGTGAGAATTGTCCCTTTGAACGATAACAATAATAACGATTTCAGCGTTTATTAGGCCATAGGCCTGTCGCCTGTCCTTACCATGGCAGAACATTCATAGCTTGTTGGGGTCTCGAACTCGCAACTCACTGATTCAAATTCTGCTTTGCTTAACCGCCCAGCCTCCTCGCCGATTCTGACCAGAAACTGGCGCAGAGAGCTGGGATCGAACCCGCACCTCTCTGCTCAAATACTGGTACTCCGAACTTTAACCACTAGGCCGCTCTTACATCTTCTGGCGTCGTCGGATCGACTACACACAAAAAAAAGAAGGGAGGAGTCATGACGCGCAAATTCTCTGCTTTATCTGGTGTCTGCGTTGCGGAAATCCTTTGAACCCCACATTCATCACTCATTGCTCGAGGTTTTCGCCGGAATGATTTCAGTTTCACAAAGCATAGTCATGAGAACAAACAACCCATGAATCACTTCCGTAGTATGCAGGAGAATAGGTTTATTAATTAATATTATCACTGAGTTTTTTAACAACTGAATAGGCAAGCTACCTACTCATCTAACACTCAACGATCTCTAGACGTTTATTTTACAACCATTACTTACCACAGTTGCCTTAACGACTGATCATGCCTCTTACATTCATCATCCAACGATCGTTACCTATACGTCCATTTCACCAACAATACCAGTTGTGATGAAAGCAGATTAGACTTGACAATAAATAAATATAATGTTCTAGCTG